GGCTCAGGCAGACCACTCCCCTGAGCAGCAGCAGCTGAGAGGACACAATAACCCCCAAGCCCAAGAGGGACTCTGCCCTGCCCTGAGATGTCTAAGCCTAACTGCTGAGTGCAGAGTGACTAGATTAACAGCTGAAGGAGACAGCCACAGACAGTAGACTCCTGGAACAGCCTGCCTAAGGTCAGACAGGGTCAACATCTGACATCATCAGAGGCAGATCCAGAAAGAAAAAACAGCAGTCTCTTACCATAGAAGTTCACACCACAAAGCCAGGAAATCAAGACAGATCAATTTACGAAGCGGAAGCAAAAAAGAAGAGTCTCGCAAATAATGGGAAGACAAAGAAATATCCCCCACTCAAAGGGAAAGGAGGGATCCCCAGAAAGAGAACTAAATGAAATAGAGGCAAGTAAACTATTAGATATTGAGTTCCAAACAACGGTTCTAAGGAAGCTCAATGAGCTCAGTGAGCTTAGAGAGAATTACAAAAAACTACAGTGAAACTACGAGGAACTTAATGCAAACTATGTCAGCATGAAAAAGGACATAGAAACTACCAATAAGCAACAAGAGGAAAGGAAGAATACAATTTCTGAATTGAAGAACACCGTAGAAGGAATCCAAAGAAGGCTAGATTAAGCAGAGGATCGAATCAGTGAGCTGGAGGATAAGGTAGAAAAAAGCTCCCAGAAAGAGCAAGAAAATGAAAAAACACTAAAAAACAATGAGGCATTGAGGGAAATGCAGGACAACCTGAAATGTAATAATACCCATATAATAGGGATACCAGAAGGAGAAGCAGAGGAGCAAGGGATAGAGAACCTGTTTGAAAAAGTCATGATGGAAAACTTCCCTCATTGAAGGAGAGAAAAAGTGACACAAATCCAGGAAGTACAGAGGGTCCCATTCAAGAGGAACCCAATGAGGCCCGCTCCAAGACACATCATCATTAAAATGGCAAATATCAAAGACAAACAGAGAATCCTAAATGAAGCAAGGGAGAAACAGGTAGTAACACAAAAGGGAGCCCTGATAAGGCCAGCAGCTGACTTCTCAAGACAAACACTGCAAGCCAGAAGGGAATGGCAAGAAATATTCCAAGTAATGAAAAGCAAAGGTCTGCAACCAAGACTGCTCTACCCATCAAGGCTCTCAATTAAAATGGAAGGCAAAATAAGGAGTTTCCCAGACAAAAAGAAGTCCAAAAGAATACACCTCCATCAAACCAGCATTGCATATCTTAGGACTGCTTTAAGAAGATGAAGAAGAAGAGTCTATGAATACCCAGTCCTTTCACAGTCTCCAATACTTGATATTACCAATATTTTTAATTCTTATTAATCCGTTTGTGACAATGATGTGTTAGATTTTTTCCTTTATTATTTGCTGAAACTAAACCTGTTTTTGTATATTTCTTGCCTAATTCTATTATTTTAAAAATATATAAGTGGCTTTTTCATATTCTTTAGCCATTTTTTGAGTAGTTTGTAGAATTTTTTTCCCTAAAAAAAACAAACTATTAACCCTTTTTTAGATGTGTTGCAAATACTTTCTTATTCTGTTACTTGTCCTTTAACTTTTTTTATGTGTATATTACTGTATAGCCTTAAGTGTTTAATATAGTCATATTGTCAATATTTTACTTTATAGCTTCTGGGTTTGAATATGTTACTTCAGGGTAAGAAAAATAGTATTTTGTATTTTCTCCTAAAACTCCTTAGATTTTACATACTGATTTTTAACTCATCTGAATATTTTTTGTACAATGTGTAAAATAGGGCTCTATATTTGTTTTATTTCAAGTAATAGTGGTCCATGCACCTTATTTGTTGAATAAGCCTTATTTTCCCCACTGAGTTGAAATATCAGTTTAATCATATATTACACTGTTAGACAGATATATATGTTTGTTTCTAGAATGCTCATTTTATTTCATTGATCTACTTGATTATTTCTGTGCTGGTGTCATGCTGTTTTAATTGCTGAGACTTTATAATGGATTTAAAGTTATTAATATTTCATAATGGATCTTGATATTTAAAAAATAAATAAAATCAGTCTGCATTTTTTTAAAAATGAAAGAAAGAAAGAAGGAACACCTACCTTTTGTGACAACATGGATGGAACTGGAGAATACTATGCTAAGTGAAATAAGCTAGTCGGTGAAAAACAAATACCCTATGATCTCACCTATATGTGGAATCTATTCAACAAAATAAAGAGCAAAATAAACCACAGGCATGGAAACATGGAGCAGACAAAAAGTGACCAGAGGGGATGGAGAAGGAAGACAATGGTGGAAAGGAGAAGGAACTAGACAAAGAACATGTATGAATGACCCATGGACATGGACAACAGATTAGGAATTGACTGTGGGAGAGGGGGCGGGGTCATGGGATGGGTGGAGGAGGGAAAAGCAGGAAAAAATTGAGACAACTGTAATAGAATAAACAGGATTTTTAAAAATAAAATTTAAAATAATAAAAAATAAAATAAAATAATTTTATAGCCTCATTGTACAATGAAGAACTGAGTCAAAAAGCATACATAGTTCAAGGTTACACATGTTCTCAGTGGAAGAGGCAGAAAACAAAATCCTGTCTTTGACATTTCCCCTTGCAGATCTGAAGTGCTATAATTTTTTAGTAAAAACTCATGAAATTTCTTACTAACCATTTTCTTTCTTTTCCTGTCTGCCCCTCTCCAGTGGCCATCACAGATATTGCACTTTCTCAAATCAATTTTATACATAGTACTGTAATTATTTTCATAAAATAAAACATTTAGCTCAACTTTTTAATTTACTTTAAAAGTTTTAATTGGCACAATTCATAAGAGCAACTGTCCAATATTTGGGGGTCATGTGTTACCAGCAGTTTTAGTCCTCAGAAGGCATTTATTAAAAAGTTGAGTAAATAAAAGTACAATTTTATAAATTTCATGGGTTTTAATAGTAACAACAGCATATACAAAGACCCTCCAGTGTTTGTTTCCTTTCCTCCTGGACATTATCTAAGTACTTTCATGAATAACTCTTTAAATTCCCCCTCTAAGCCATTTCTTGTGTTGTTGTTGGTTTGTTTTTTTTTAACCTCACTTCATGTCCTCTCTCTTAGTCCTTTTGTGTGTGCTCAGTTGGCACAAAGGGGTCTAGACAGGGGTGCAGAGGGGACTGGGAGCCAGCCTGTGCTCAGACAGTCACACTGGGCCCTGGCTAGGTCTACACCAGTCCAGAGGAAGGGCCACCTCTGTAATTCCCACAAAGATCTGGGATGTACAATACTAGCAGGGGCTGGCCTCATCTTCCCTGCTGTCTCTTGGTTCAGACCCCAGTCTTGTTTTCTTCCCTATTCATTTCCTGCCCCCTCTTCTTTTTCTTTTGCCCTTCATCCTTCCTAATCTCATCATCCTCCTATTTCTCCCTTCTTATTTCCTCTCGACCTATAAGAAAAGATATTGTGTAAATTAAATTTTTACACAAAAGATGAGTACAATAAGTTTTTTAACTTTAAAAAACTTAGCTGAAATATGTTTATACATCAAAAGCTTAACGAAGCAAAAAGTACAATAATAAAAAAAAAATTCAGGGAAGCACTTACCAGAAATTGCCTATATTACCTTTCATCCGGGGGTGTTTAATATTATTTAACCTTTACTTAACCAATGCACGATAAACGCATTAGTATTTAACACTAACAGAGAACAAAACTTTGAAGGAGAACAAAAGATCATAAACAGAGAACTTAGGTCCATTATTCATCAAGGATTAAGGACTGATAGAATTGATTCTCTCCTGGATTTGGTTCAGAAAGAGGGGCATAATCATACTTGCCTAATTAACTAGCACGTTGGATAGATTAAAGTGCTTTGCCAACATTAATTAAAGATGCAGGGAGTTAAGACGAGGCCAATGTATTATTAGAGAAAAAGTTTTCTTCCCTTTAATCAGGTATCTTTTCCTGGGGCGGGCAGAGGAATGATCTAAGGACTAAGGAATTGGGGTTCAGCCCTGAGGGCTGGCAGTGACTCGGCCATTCTGTGCAACCAACCCCTTCCTTCCTGAATTTTCTGTAAAATGGGGAGAAACACAAAAAACATTTTGGAATAGAGTTGATTATAATGTCCACCATTTGCGTATATAACAAACCCTACAAATAATAAAAACCCATAACTCTTGCTTTCTCCGTCCCTAGAGAGTTGTTCCATCCCGTGGAAACACTGGTAACATTAACTTCCACCACCTTACAAAGCCTTCCACACCAGCTTATTACCTCAGTCGTTATTTCCAGTGATAGAGTCAAGGAGATAATAGCACCAAGCAATGGGGTCAAAAAACCTTTGGACGAGTTTCTTCACCTCTCTGAACCTGTTTTCCTCAAATTACTCCTCTGTAAAATGAGGGCAAGAAATCAGACGACTGTTCTGAGGATTAAATGAAATGTGTGTACGTTAAATGCCTTGTCCAAAGGTCATAAATATTCGATAAATAGTAGTTATTATTACTGTCCTTAAATACAATCTCTCAAAGCTGATGGAGTTGGGGGGGGGGGCGGCGGTAAGGGGACAGAGGAGGGAATCTCCTGCTTCTTCAAAGCCTCAGACGTAAACTATTGCTTTTCTCTGCGCGTGTCACTCAGAGATGGCAGGTGGAGTTTCACTCAGGTGGTCTCGGATGCAAACCTCATTCCGAGACAGAGGATCCCTGCCAGAGGCGGTTCCGGGCAGCACTGGCGTAGGGATCTGTCCCTTTAATGCTCCGGGAGTGCGCTTGAAGGGGCTGAGCCCGACTGGTGGGCCTACGCTGGGGGTGACGGTCAGCGCGCGGCGGGGCTGGGTGAGCGCGCGGCGGGGCTGGGTGAGCGCGCGGCGGGGCGGGGGTAGCGGGCGCGCGACCGGGAGGTGCTCCGCGCGTGAGCGAGCGCGCGGTCGCAGAGCGCGAGGCCGGGCCGGGAAGCGCGCAGAAGTGCGCGCACAGCAGGAGAGTGCGCGTTGGGACTGCGAACGCTCTGCTGGGCGGCCCCGGGCGGTTGGCGAGAAGTACGAGAGCTGACCGGCTACCAGGCGGCGCGAGGGCTTCGGGTGGCGGTCCGGGTGGACACCTGCGGTCCCCAGCGAGGGGACTCCTGCCAGGTGAGTGAGAACTTTTCTGTCGCCGACAGGGTTACAGCGGCAGGGTTACGTCCTGGCAGCCGGTCCCCTCGCCTGTCACGTCGGTGAGCCGGGCGGCAGTTGGAGTCTGATGAGGGAAGCTAAAGTCGGGTGGGTTTCAAGTAGAGAATACCCCCTTGTCTTACGACCCGCTGCCTGCGTTTCCCACGCTTCCCTGCAGTGCACTTCTTGCGTGGATCTCTTCTTGCGCGCTCTCCCTCTCCACGTCGTTTGTTCCGGCTCCTGGAAGTTAGGGAAGATTGGCGCAATGCGATGGACCGTAATCAACCTGGTGGCCTCACTCAACCCCGGTCCCTCTTTTGGGATTTCAGGGGTTCGCGCGCACCCCTGTCGCGGGCGTTGGGGAGGACGTGGCGTTTTCCTGCTCTGAGGTTGTTCTGTTGCGGGGGGCGCGCTTGGTGGTCGGTGATAACGTGCTCAGCTTTGGACACAGAGCGGTCCTGGGTGCCCCTAACAACCCCCTGTCCTCACCACCCTTCACGGATCTGTGTGAGGGAATCGTCGCCCCGCTTTGCGCCTTGGCCCTCAAACTCATTGGGACGCTCTGTCCCTTCCGAGGCGGAGAGGAGGGTGGGAGCCTAATGTTGACAGGAGGTGGCTAAAGCCACCTGTTAAACTGGTTCAAAATGACCAGTAGCTTTTCGCCCCTACCCGTGTTCCCCAACCCCAGACCCCCAACAGGTAACTGAAGCACGCAGGCAGGTGCAGGATCTGCGAGTGAGCCTGGGCGGGAGGGATTAAAAAGAGAGAAGAAAATGTGGTCGATGTGATGCAATTTAACAAAAGGCAATAAAATAAACGCCAGTATTTCTCAAGGCTTTGAAACTTTCCCAGTATTGTTTTATGCAATCTAAATTTAATCATCTAGCTTTTTTTTTTTTTTAACCGCAGGAACTAACCTCGGAAAACTTTTAACTCTTTGTCAGAGTTAAAGGAGTTGGTGTAAAGCAGAAAACTTAAAGTGAGTTAAGGAAAATTATTTTGGGAGTCTCCCCCACCCCAAGCAGAGTGAAACGTTCAGGTCTGTTGCTGGAAACTGTAGGAAGAAGGCTCCTTCTAGCTCCAATTTTAATGGAGAATACATTTTTTTAAACCTGTATATGTGAAAGGTATAGAAATACTAAACCAGGTATAAGTATAAACTTGAGGAAAATACTTGCAGGGAAACATTTATTAAAGATACTTTTCTGCTTCATTTTTTTTTTTTAAGCACTACATACTTAGTGCTCTAGCATGCGCTACGAAGTTTGCCCTCAGAGTTCCATGTCTGAATGTTACAGATTGTTTTTCTAGGTGGAGGAGGTATTTTCCTTCATGAGGTCAATGTGGAAATACAAACAAATGCCTTATTTACTTGGGACTGGGTGGGAAGGGTGGAAGTTGTCTAAAATCTCTCTTGCCAAACCTGACAACGTATGTATGGAATCTTGTGTATTTTCTTGCCCAGACCAGTTATAGCCATTTTTAAGTGACTGGATATGGATCTTGTAACAGCACTTCAAATGAGCTTTCCTTTGAAAATTCTGGTTGCTGTTCATTTACAAGTAACACATTTTCTCTATTACTAGAGATCAGAAAGCAAAGATGAAAATGCTAATTTAGAAAAAACCTAGGAAGAGGAGACAGAGATGCTTTTAAGAAAATTTGAGTGTGTTTGACTCTATGATGGCCTCTTTGTGGCAGGGGGGGATTTGCCTGTTTTGGTAAAAGCCCTGCTGTTCATTTATTCATGCAGCCATATTTATAGACTATTTGAGCACCTACAATGTGCTGGGCACTGAGCTAGTCATTAAGCATATAAACATATCTAGATAATGGCCATATGGTCCAAACTGATTAAAACCAGATCAAGTAAGCCTTCCTAAGGAGCTGAAGATACACCTGGTCCTGGTTCCAAAGTTCTCAGACACCTAAGGAGCCTATAGTTGTCACCCCGTGTTGATTCTAAAGATCATCTCAAATAACGACAAGAGGTGGAGTAGAGCCTTGAAGCCTGAAGGGAGAGAGGTGGAGCAGAGAACAGGAGATCCTCTGGAACAAAAACTTCAAGTGCATCTTATCTACATGGTTGTGGGACAGCCGCCAGTGGCACAGAGGCTATTTGGGGGTAGGTGCCAGGGAATCCCAGGAGCATCCCAGAACTTGAGCTCTTTCCTTGGCTGGTGAAGGGCAGCATTTCGTTTCAGTTTCCATGCTCTTTCTGGTGGCAGTGGTGGTGGCTTCCTAGCTGCACTCTAAAGAGGATAGGCTGGGCAACTCTCCCTCACTATCCTGCAGCATTCCGCCTCCCCTCCCCCCCCCCCCACTTCAATCTTTGAGGGAGTCCAGGAGCCCTTGTCGAAAAGCCTCTGTTAACATTGACACAGTGGGGTCCATAGAGTGGTCAATGGTAACAGCCTCTGTAGACAACTACCGTGAAGCTGCACCTCTCAATAATGCCCGTGTCCTTCTTTGGATCTCGCAGCATTAATCTGGAAACCTATTTTAAGAAAGTAGGTGCTGGGTTTGTAATCCATGCAGTCAGGTAAAGGAATGTGCAGGGCAGAACACTCCACCTAGCTTTATTGGAATGGGATGTCATAGCTCCTTATGAATGTGTATCTTTAGACTGGGTATTTCCAAAGACTCTAGCACCATGAAGACTTGCTTGTCTCATCTCGTCTCCTCTCTCTTCTCTCCTCTTCTCTTCTCTTCTCTTCTCTTCTCTTCTCTTCTCTTCTCTTCTCTTCTCTCTCTCTCATCGGGTAACATTATATTTATCATTTTAAAGTGTGTAAGTCAGTGGCATTAAGTATACTCACATTATATGTGTTTATTTTTTCTGTAGAGGTCTACAGATAGATATTCATTAAATGACCTTTTTCAATTGCATTATTCCTCACTAAATTTGTATCTTCTTAACATGTCAACAGCTGAGATATACTGAAAAATCCCACTAATAATGAGGGATGTGACATCTCCTGGTACTATTGAGATTACCTGTGCATACTACTTTATATTTTAATATCTAACAATATGCATTTGTAAGTTTATATTGTTAGATATACAAAATCTAATAGGAATTAAACTTTTATCATTACATAGTTACTTTTATCACTACTGAGATTTTTCACCTCAAAGTCTATTTTTCTTCATGTAATGTAGCCATAGTGATCTTTTCATTGTTTCTGTTAATATTTGCTTGATGTATCTTTACCCATCCTTTTTATTTTCTTTTAAATATCTTTACTGAGGCCCTGACAGGTGTGGTTCAGTTAGTTGGGCATTGTCCCTCAAAGCAAAAGGTTACCAGTTCAGTTCCCAGCAAGGCACATGCCTTGGTTGCAGATTTGGTCCCTGGTGGGGTGTGTATGAAAGACAGCCATTAGATGCCTCTCTCTCACATCAGCTGGCCAGTGTTTCTCTCTTGCAACAGTGTTTCTCTTCCTCCCTTTCCCTCTCTCTAAAAATAAAGAAATAAAATCTTTTTAAAATTATATATCTTTACTGAAGTATAATTGACATTCAATAAACTGCACATATTTGAAGCGTAAAAAACATATATATCCACAGTGTTGTGAAACCACCACCACTATCTGATTCCAGAACTTTTTCATTACCCCAAAAGGAAAACCCATATCCATTAAGCAATTACTCCTTCATTTCCACCCTACTCCAGCCACTGGCAACCACTAATCTGTTTTCTATCCCTATGGATTCGTCTATTCTGGACATTGCATATAAATGGAATCCTACAATATGTGGCCTTTGTGTCAAGTTTGTTGCACTAACGATACTTTCAAGATTCATGCATACTGTGTAGCATGTATCAGTACCTCATTCATTTTTATTACCAAATAATATTCCATTGTGTAGATGTGCCACAATTTGTTTTCTTCATTAGCTCATGGACATCTGAGTAGTTTCCCCTTTTAGCTATTGTGAATAATTCTGCTATGACCATTTGTTTGAACACTTGTTTTCAGTTCCTTTGGGTCTTTACCTCAGAGTGGAATTCCTGAATAACATAATAATTCAATGTTTAACCTATTAAGGAATCACCTTTTTTACATGGTGATTGCACCACTTTACGTGTCCACCAGAAATGAAGGAAGGGTTCAACTTCTCCACATCCTTACCAACACTTGTGGTTTTCCATGTTTTGGTTTTTTTTAATTGCCGTCCTAGTGGGCATGAAGTATTGGGTTGGACAAAAAGTTCATTTGCTTTTTTTCTGTACAGTGGCTCTAGTAGTGCTTAGTTGTCTTTAACATCATTCCAAACAATTTTGTTAGATTGTATTGTGACAGCTGTCATATTAGCATACATTAAAAAAACTTACCAAAATTGGTGAATTTTGTGTAGCTATTTTAATGTTGAAGACTGAAGAAAATAAGCAACACTTTCAGCATATATTATGCTTTATTATTTCAAGACAGGTAAAAACACAACTGAAATGCAAAAAAAGATTTGTGCAGTGTATGGAGAAAGTGCTGTGACCGATCAAATGTGTCAAAAATGGTATGTGAAGTTTCATGCTGGAGATTTCTCACTGGACAATGCTCCCTGGTTGGGTAGACCAGTTGAGGCTGATAGCAATCAAATCAAGACATTAATTGAAAACAATATTGTTATACCACATGGAAGATAGCTGACATACTCAAATATCCCAATCAATAAAGTTACTGGTGAAAATGAAAAATGTGTCTTTTATGGAAAAAACTAAACAGACTTTTTTGGCCAACCCAATAGTATCTCATTGCAGTTTTGATTTGCTATTTCCCTAATGGCTAATAATGTTGAGCATTTTTTTCATGTGCTTGTCAGCCACTTACAGATCTTCTTTGGAGAAATATCTGTTCAGTGACTTGATTTGTATTTTGTATTAAGTTTTATTTATTTTTATAGGGCTCAGTTTGTATATTATGTTCCTTGTCAAATCTTCACTCCTCAAAACAAATGTTGTTTTGTTTTGTTTTTTT